ACAGAACTCGATTCGACTTCTACGACAATTCTATGTTGAATGCAGTACTTTGGGACATCTTGCATTATTCCCTACTGCATCGTACACAACATCAATATTCCACTTGTACAGGATCTTTTCCTGTTTGCGTGGATACAGATTGTCCAACAGACTTGCGTCCGCGTCGAATCCCAACATCACACACGATCAAAGTCCGATCGCACGTGTCAAAAACCTTGTACTTGAATAGTTTCTTTTGGAACTTAAAACTCATATTTCGTCATATCCCAACACCCTCTAGCCGCAATATATTTCTATAAACAACTGTTTTTTGCTCTCCGTGCTTTAGCCGTCTGTTTTAATAACTATTTTAAAGCCGAACTCGGCTCCGGGCTTCCTGTCTTCTTCGTTCTCGGCCTACCTTTTCCCTTGCGACTCTCATCCTTCCCTCTCCAAGATGGATATCCCTTGCCTGAATATGTTTTTTTACATCTTCTAGTCTATATATTTACAGTTCTATCATTACCGCCCACTACCCCCCGAGAGCCTTTCAAGGGGCATTTCCTGTCCAAAAACAAAAACTTTTCCTTCCCAGATCAAAAACTTTTCTTCCCTTTTTATTTCCCATTCACACTTCCCTCTCCACTTGCTGACACGCCACTTCTCTAAAATTCCCTGCACTGCAGCACATTCCATACCAACCTCCACACACTTACAATACACTTACAATATCTTTCCCAATCTTGTCCCTCCTCATAAATTTCTGATCTCAGATTTTTTACGACCAATTGATTGACACCATCATCCGCAATGCGATTCCCTTCATACTCTTCTATCAAGTCCCTCCCCACCGATGCGGACTCCGATGCCCTCTTGAAGAACGTTTTCCATGGCTCGTCCAGCATGTCTGATTGTGCCACTGCTGTCACCTCGGCACTTGGTCTGATGTTTTTCGACCCTCAAGGAAAGCTCACGGTCGTTACCATCCCAAAAAAGGTTATCCTTGACAATGGAATGTCGGCTGGTATCTTTGCCTCCCTCCGAGACGACCTTGCCCAAGCGATCCCCGTGACCATTGACCCCGACGAACTCTCCAAACGGGTGATTGGGGTGGGCAACAATGGCCGCGCCGTCTTGTGCACAGACTTACCTGAAGACATCGACTTCACAGTCGAATCACCAACCTTCTGTGCTGTCTCGGTTTTCTGCCCTCTTGTTCCAGGTAGCAAGATGCCACCGGATCTGGACCTTACCCAAGACGTCACTGAAGAAGTTCTTCTAGTCCTTTCGCCTCACGAACGTCTATGGGTCGAAGTTCATGCCTTTCTCTTCAAGAATACGATGGGAAGAAGCCTTTTTGTCGACGAGACACTCGTCGGCCGGACTTCTATCCCACTGGACCAGTTTATTGTCAACGAGCAGCTAGCTGCAATCTCCGAGAATACTCTCTCCACAGCATCTGGGTACAAGTTTTGCGACGCCCGGACCGGCTCTGAGTCCTTTTACAAGTACATTGGGAGCTTCAACAGTAAGGTCGATGCGCTCTCCCGTGCCCACACCGATGTCTCTGCCGAACCAAGTGTTCCTACCGGGGCTGCCCAACCAATCGACCACGCCAGTATCATCAAGGAGGCAATTTTGGCATCAAAGACCACGGCCACCAACGACGCGGCAAACAAAGCTCAAGAGCGAGTCCTACTGTCCTGGCGAATACTCTTTGGCCATTTCATCACCCACCCGGATGGGAGTGTTGAATACGTACTGGCTGATTGTTCGTCCGCTTGGAAGACCATTTTGAAGGCCAAGCCCCAACTTGTGCTTCGTTTCTTCCACGAAGCCTTTGAGCAATCCATTGAAGGGCTCCAACCTACCCGCAATGCTTACCATGCTCTCTTTGACTGGGATGTCCATCGCATCCAGGCAGCTGGGATGGCGGCAATCCAAGGAGCCAGCTTTACCACCAGATCTCTGGTAATGAACCCATCCGATGCACTGTCCTGCTTCAGTCTCCTTCAGTTCCTCCCTTCCGACAGGACCGACAATGACTTGGCCTAGCATATTAACGAAGATGAAGAAGCCTGTATGCAAGAAGACATGGGTGAGCATGTCACCAAAAGGGCCTCCAAGAAGACAAAATTGTACTCCAAGGGTCGCTGCGCCTCCATTGCCGACATCAAGAGCACCATCTCCAACGTCGCACAACTTGCTGACTTTGCAACCGAAAACTTCTCCATGTCCAACAACACACCCTTTTTGGTGGAACAGTTTGACACGGTTATGGTTGCTTTGTCCCGACCTGACGCCGTCCAGTGGCAGCATGTGATCGACCTCACGGGTGTCGCTGTCCACATCCTCCATGACCTCCAAACCGTTTTCCAGGTCATTGCCTCTGAGGCCAAGGACTTCACTCTCCACGCCGAAGCACGATACTGGGCACCATTCAACGTACTGAACTCTTCTCTGGCGCAAGAGCCCAGACACAGCTCCTGCTGGACAAGATTGACAAAGGACTACAAAATTGTCGCCGCCCCAACTATCCCAGGACATCCGCCCTGAGTGTCCTGATTTCTTCCACCGAGACCCCTGACGCTTCGTCTTCTGGCAAACGGTCCTCCGAGTCACCATCCTCCAAGCAAGATACAGTCGCTTCACCTGCAAAGAAGCCAAAGCCTAACAACGAGGAAAGCAACACCAGGGGCATGCTAATCTGCACTTCCACCGGACGGCCACCGATGCCAGACCAAAAGTGGAAAGTCAACGGTGTAGAGAAGACCGCCTGCGTCAACTTCCTCTTCCGAAATTTCCAGTGCACGAATACTCGTTGCCCTTTGCTCCATCTCCATAAGCGAGTGTACCAATCTCGTCCTGCTAGCGAACAGGAGTCCTTCAAGACCTGGGTCCAATCAACTCCAAACGTCAAATGGGCTCCTGGGCAGGAACCACATACCGATTAGTTTTTCTTTTTACTTAAGTACCTTTCTTTCTTATCACAACTTTGCTTTCCACTTACGTCCTAGTTAATTTTCCTTCTCTCTCATGGTTGATTGTTGTTGCCCCACCAAGTGGCGGCCGCATCAGTAAGCACTCTTACCCGACAGGTCAACTACTATGCGTCTCGGTCCGCACCTATGTCACATTGCATTGATCCACAGGACAAGTGCGCTCTCCAGGACTATGCCCCAACTCGGACAATTTTTGACGAGCTTGACCCTGCGGACATGCTTGTTGCGGAACGATTCCGCCATATTCTGGAACAGGGCGCAAGGGTAACACCTACCTTTACTTGGTCGGAACAATCCCAATTTCTTTGGGATCTCCCAAGTAGAACTGCCCTCGCTGTGGAGTCACCATACGGTAAGGACAGTAATGACCGATGCTTCAAGACGGAAAGTACATTTCGCCATACCTTTGTTTTTCTCTACAAGAGCGGCTACTTGGACAAAACGACCGGCGATCGCTTGGGCAAGGCTTTCTCCGGAGCCTTACTTCTTCGTCTGCTACTCAAGGGCCACAAGTTTGTTGACTTTCGGCCACTTTATTCCGTCCTTCTTTCGGATACACCAATGGGCCAAGTCATGCACTGTTGGAGCCGGATGTTCACCGCCTGTTTGTTACATTACAACTTGGATGTAGCTACTGCCGTTCGCTATGTTGGGAACATACATACAGGGGCCCATCGTGATTGGAACGCTTTGGAACCAGAGCTACGTGCGGCATCAGTCGATGATGGTCTTGTTGCAAATTTACGGCGCGTGCTCGTTGACGGTTGTCCAAATTATGTCAATGCTACGTTGTCCGAGAAGAATCGGCGATCCTTCGCTGAATATGGAAATCACGACTCAGTTTATACCAATGTCGAAAAAACACAGAAAGCAGTCCAGAAGGATTTCGCCCGATCCCACAGCCTTGTTGGCAACCCTCTGTTGACACCTTTCCTACCAGATACACAGCAGATCCCACATGGCCTGGTGGTTGTCCCAGGAAAGAGCGATCGTCAAATCTTTGATGGCACTTTTCGTCCTTTGCTTGAGTCTATCGCTACCAACGATATGACAACCAAAGATACGGAGCACAAGGTCGAATTTCCAAAATCGCTTCGGAACCACCTGGCATATATCTACAATGCTCGGATCAGCTACAAATCTGAGGAACTTTACCTTGGTGACGACGACGTCTTGGGCGCCTTTTGCCACGGGAAATGGAACCCAAATGTGATTGGCATGCACGCGTTTTCCATTTTTGGTTTCCTGTTTTTCTGCACTGGTCTGACATTCGGTGGCAATACCTGTCCGTCGAATTTTGAGATTATAGCCTTAAGCCGTATGACTCTTGCACGCTTCCTCTGGTCACAGGCTTCTACAATTGCTAGGGTTCTACGATACCTTCCGGCGATATCGACATCACCTGAACCAACACCTGACGAGATCGCACAGTTCACCCCAGCGGAAGCTGACTCCATCAACAAAGGTGTCTTCATTCCGGACGGATCTCGGATCCCACCCAATTTCGACCACCATGTGGATGATTGTCTTTATGTTGATGTCGCAAAGACACTGAGACAAACAATAGCCTCCAGTGTTCAGGCTCTGTATTTGATCCTTGGCTTCCCAGATGCTTCAAAAGGGATTCGAGATTGCGTGTCTTGGGAAAAGTTCACCACTACTTTCTCCCATCGTCGACACTGCCTTGGCTGGTTGATTGATTCCCGCGCCCTTACGGTGAGCCTCCCATCTGAGAAACGAGATCGTATCATCCAACAGCTTCGGACCTTTCTACGGAAACATTGTCTAACCCTTCAAGAAATTGCAGAACTCTTTGGTCTGTGTTAGATTAAAGCAAAATGTGCTCTATCATGAGTGCCTTTAGCGCTCAGAACAAACTCTCTGCAATCTAAATTCATAATCAACTGTACAACACTTTCATGACAATAGTTCTCCTGTGTCTAGGTATACTTTGAGTGAAATTGTTCCTATTTGATTAATGTTTGGCTTGAATTGATGATTCAATCACAAAAGTGAGTTTGACGATTTTCCCTTGGAAAATCCCTTGTTTACAGAACTCGATTCGACTTCTACGACAATTCTGTGTTGAATGCAGTACTTTGGGACATCTTGCATTATTCCCTACTGCATCGTACACAACATTAATATTCCACTTGTATAGGATCTTTTCCTTTTTGTGTGGATACAGATTGTCCGAATTTGCCACACGGTCCAGATAATACGAGTATGCATGTATTATTTAACGGGATGTCACAGAGACATGCACGACCTATTCGCCATGCGTACCAACGACGGACGCTGCACGAAAATAAAACGTAACATCTTTCTTTTGGTCGTACCTGGTATCGTACCATGGTGAAGACTGGGTCTGTTACTTGGCACACAAAAATGAAAACCTTGCCATTAGCTGTGGAGACCCAGCGCCACAAGTCATTGCACTCACTTGCGTTCTTGACAACATCTCTTCTCTTTCTTGCAGCAACTACATGTCCGCTTGCAACTGGATTCGGCTCATTGCAAGGACCCATTTTCAAGCCTTTACCATTCCACACCACTGAATCAAGATCACCGTCCAAGTTTATGGTAGCAACAGAACAAACAGTCGAAACGGATTCTTTTCCAGAACTTGGAAAAGGCGGTGTTTATCATATAACAACCCCAGAACAACACCAGTATGTCACTCTTTGTTTTCGAAAGTCTATTTTGCGTTTCTCATTGTTTCACTTCGCGTTAGTGCTCTTTTGGAAATGAATAAGGACAAACTCCTAGTTATGAAAGTCTTCGCACCGTGGTGTCGCGCTTGTAAAGGTCTCGAACCGAAGTTCAATGCAATTGTAAAAGATCCCAAGTACAAAGATCTACCGATCATTTGGGCGGATTTGAGCATACAAAACAACAAAAATTATGTAAAGTCTATTGGAGTTGTTGCCCTTCCTAGTATTCAATTCTATGCACAAGGAATGAGAGAAGATACTTTTCCATGTGGACCTTCTAAAGGTTTGTCCATCTTGTTTTCCTTTGTGTACGTGCATGTAATGAAACTGATTTTGCGATGTGTTTCAGTTCCTATTTTGAAGCGAAAGCTCTCCGAATTCGTACAGCACCGGATCGACAAAGAAACTAGACAGCTGACGTCGGTTGGAAAACAGAAGGAAACAACGGCAACCGAGACAAAAGTGTTTGGCGAAGTTGACAAAAGCAAAGACGCAACTGCTCAGTCATATATTGAAAGAGAGCGTTCAAATCTTCGGTCCATTCCATATTTCACGACTATGCTGGAATCTGAATTCGAATCCGTGTTATCAAGAGCTTCCTTGCTTACATTTGAAAGCGGTGCACTCATCATGAGAGAAGGGAACGTTGGAAGTACATTCTATGTGATTGTTGAAGGAGAAGTAGAGATATGTCAGAAAACATCATTCGAGGATCCACTAACGACCCCGCCGACGTACCTTGGTACGGTCATCAATCGATTCGTACAAGGTGAATACTTTGGTGAAAGAGCTCTGATAACTGGTGAACCCCGCGCTGCTAGTATTCGAACGTCATCCTTGACTAGGTGTCTTGTGTTCGACGCCCAGGATTTCCCTTCAACATGTATACTAAGTGGAAAGTCGCATGTCGATGCCGAAAGTGAGATGCAGAGTATCAACGAGAAATACGGGGTGACGTTGAGCGACATAACAACAATGAACGATAACCAGTACCTCGAAGCACAGAAGGCAAACCAAGCTCGTGGCAGTGTGAACTCACCAAGACCAATTGATGGGGTTGACAATGACTCCGAGGAAGATGGTCACAATATTGGCGTCGAAACTGATACTGTGGTACCTTTGCTAATGCGTTTCAAGTTGATTCGACTTGTCACGCGATGCTTTGATTACATGGTCGCAAATACACCGCGCTTGGGGGACCAGGGCGCTCGGCGTCGAAGAAATATGCTGGTTCAGTTGCTGTCATCGTCTCAGCAAAGTGATTTCAACGATGCGTACAATTTGCTGGATGCAGACGGAGACGGTGAAATCACACTTATTGAATTCCGCCGTCTTGTTGACTCTATTGGTGAAGAAAAGAGTGACGAAGAGCTTCAGAACTACATTGAAAAAGGAAATCAGAAAATGGATGGAAAGCAAGTCATCTCATATGAAGACTTCATGGGTATCATGGCAGAGGCAGAGTTTTATCACTTGTTTCTTGAGACGTTTCGAGCATTGGACAAAGAAGATTCTGGCTATTTACGAGCTGGTGACCTCAACAGAGTTCTATGTGGTGTCCGTGATTTAATTACTGATGATCGAAAGAGTATCATCGATGTGGAGGATGATGATATGAGTATTGATTACGAGCAGTTTTCAAAGATGTTGTTAGGCATCGCTCTCAAATGAGTGCTACATAATGTGGGTGCTTCTTGCCAGATACGTAGATAAAAATTGCGCCGAGGTGAAATAACGGTTATTAGATGATTCCAACTGAATGCCCCATGTCCTAGTTTATCATGCAGCCTAAGCGTCCATGCTAATCAGTCGAACGCTAACAATGCGAGTCAGATCGTAGTCTTCCCAAGTGTTTGGATTCAATGACACACTTCGATCGGGCATCATCCGCTTTAAGGCTTGATGCCCAGATATGATCTTTCCGAAGCAGGGATCGGCATCGGCTGCTATTTCATGGTGAACCTGACCCCCAGGACCGTGATGATCAGAATTATCTATCGTGTTAATATAGAAATTCGGCCCGTTTCCGGAAAATCCTAGCGTGAACTATTGAATATGTTAAGGCAAGTTAGCAGATTGTTGGACGAAACATCGCTGGGTTTTAACATTGTAGGACTTACTAGGGAATGGGGATAACTGTTTGAATAGTCGGGAAATTCAAGCCGGTTGAAACCGAGCGCTTCGAAATGATGACTTTTTGGATCAAATGTCCCAAAATTCACCGGAGCAGCCGCAATTACATGATGTTGCGAAGAGTGGTGATAAAATACCGTGTTGTCCCAAAGCCCATGTGCTGTCATATCCAAAAATACACCAACAGAATAGGGCACCAAGTCGATGGGTGCGAGTTCGACAACGAAAGTGCCGGAAGTCCTAGCATTCTGGCCAGTAAGGACGTCAAATCGCATGTGATGAGGACCCGGCCCGTACCTTTCTATGACTCTCTTTCGACTTTGCTCCTGAACAAAAGATTGTAGATTGATAATTTTGTGATACAACGCATCGTGTCGCTGTTGTGCCCAACTACTTGTTATTCCGTTTTGTCTCTGTTCAATCAATTTTGTCACTTGAGAATTGGAGTGGCTTTGCTTCATTTCGTAGAGTTCTTCGCTCATTCTTGCTTCGTGGTCGAATAATCTTCTCGTTCGTTGCTGTTGTCGATTTTGGCGCAAAATTGCATCTCTCTTCTTTTTCGAATCTTGCATCATGGTGAACGTTTGCGTTTTTTGTGTGTTCATTGTTTTAACTTTCTTTTGAAGAACGTAGAAACTATTGTTTAGTTTACCATCGATCCTCAATGCAGTCATCCAGGACACCAAAACCATGTACATCAGTCTCGATGTCCTAGACGTGGTCGAAACGCGAGAGCACATTGGCAACGCTTTATTGAGGCAGAATGCACTGGAATCATCATTTCCTAAGGGCAGTTGCGCACCACATATTGATTGTCCTTGACGAAGTTGACTTCGTTGAATTGCAACCATCGCTGCTGCGTTCCTTTTGCGGAGAATTGACGAATCTGAATCTTGTACGCCGAGTATCAATTTGTTGCAGGTTAGAATTGGCGATTCCAATGATCGCTGGATATCGTCTGGGCTTCGTTCACCAAACTCGAAAACGGTCTGCTTTCATACGGTCGATATGACATCTCCTCCGAGGAATAATTCCCTCCTTTCCATTATTCCAGCGTATCATGAAACAAGCCTTTGACTCATGCCCACAATGAAGCGATTATTCTATTACGTTTTCGTTCTTACGATAGCGGCAAGAGTGTCGTCGTTTGTGCCTCCACAAACCAAAGATGGCAGATTTGATCTATGCCTCTCATCACAAAATGACGACCATTCCATGAATGAATTCTCCAGAACTTTGAATATTGAGAAGATATTGAAAACAGCAGGTGGGAACAGAAGACGAACACGGGATTTCAAAACCGTAATATCGGCTACGGAGAAAGAGTGTCATGCGTTGAAATTGAGATTTGAATTGAAAACACTTCACTCGTTGGAAGCCGACTTAAGCATCAGCTCTTACAATGTCGGAGGTGATTCAAGAAGCAATGGGCTTGTCACTGTTTACATAGAAGGAACTATCAGCGCGAGTCTCACCCGAATTTGTGTCAGAACAAACAAGGAGTTCGTGGAATCTTTTGAGTGTAAAGTTGACTCTCTCGTCAAACCAACATCAAATGCCTCCTTTCGCATGGAAGACGATGATGCCTCTTCTTATTCAGAATCCAAGAAGAAGCAAAACCTGAAGAGTGCTCAAATAAACAACCTAGACGATTTGGTTGAGCTGCAGGGTATTTTAGATGCCTCGGAAAATGCTAGAGAGGATATTCTGGAAGATGAGCACATATATTCGCTTTCGACAGGATTACTTGACGTAGGAGAGCTGGTGGCTCAGAATTTTTGGCTTGCGCTTGACCCTTACCCCAAGTTGCCTGGCTCCGACCCCGTAGAGGCATCGATTTCTGGCTAGAATCTTCAAACCGATTTACATGGAGCGCACAGGGTAATAATTGTCCATCTCTAAGTCATCTGTCTCTATTGTAGTGTGCAGTAGTAATCAATAACCTTTTGTAAGATGTACATACTATCTTACTTCATGTTGGCTCTTTGCCAAGGGTTAAAATGGCTGAGAGGCGGACGTTTGTTATCAAACAGGCTTTCGGAAACTTTGGAGAAAATGCTGGATTACTGCTTGGGGTGAGTGAAATTTTGTTCGAGAAGTTGAAATCAACCTGAGCAGCAATAATAATGTTATTGAGCACGAGTTTCAAATGTGGTTGTGATAGCTAAATGCATCCTGCTTCAAGGGTTTGACTTCTTCCTTGCCTTTCTGCTCTATCTGATGGAATCGAGCTGATACTGTAGGTCTATATCGTGGTGTTTTCAACTATACTAATATTGTGCCTCAGTAATTACTGCTCCCCTAAAGTATTCAGGCGATGAAGCTGTCTTTTCAGATAGTGCATTGCTTGACAGTCCTTGCCCAACGATGTGATGCCGAGGAAGTCGTAGCTCAGCGGGTCCAGTTTTCCAAATTCTATTGCTAAAGAATAGAGATTGTCCTGCTGAGTTTGCACTCGACTCTGGCAGAGATTTTCTCATAAAGTACGCATCCTCGCCATCTTGATAGTATGCTGGAATGATCTGCGCAATTTCGTAACCGTCTCTTTGATATAGACGGCAGGCTGCTTCATTCGAAGTTCTCACTATCGAACACAATAAAATGTAAGTGCAAAAGATCAATTCAGTTCCGATCATTTAAAAACAACCTGTATCTTGCGTTTGCAAACCTACCGTGTAAACCACATTGTTTGATACCTTGGTGCTGCAAATGGTGATGAAGCTGGCGCATCATTGCTTGTGCGAGACCGAGACGGCGAAATCCATCTTGGACAGCTAGACTTGTCACGTGACCTAGTGTTTCAACCTGCTCCTTACTATACCCCGCGCCGTCAAAGTTCTTGACGGGTCGAGTTTCAATTTTGCCCAAAACATAAGCAATTATCCTTGGAGGAGATTCTGCCACGTTCGGAAATGAAAAAGACAAACCCGTTTGATCTGGGGGCACGTCCGAGACGTCTTCACAAACCACAGCAAGTTCGGGCCACTGATTCAAATGCGATTGATAGAATTGAGAGTTGTAGTTCTCGGGAAGACATTCTAAATTGCAGCGTTGTATCGCTGATATGTCAGATTCTAAGAAAACAAAGACATGTAAGACACTCTTGGCACTTTCATAGCATGGAACTTTGCTCATTACATACTCTTTGCCAAACGGACTTGGATGTTCTGAGTTTGTGGCAAGATTATTCTTGTCTTTTCTCCAGTAGCCAACGCTGTTACGGAGCTCCGCAGTAGAGCGAAAAGGAGGCGTGGGCGCTTCATTCTCTTTGCCGTAAAAGAAAAAGTGTCTAGTTTTCCTGCAGCACTTCAAGTGACGTGGCAAACTTTATTTTTGAGTTGTCTAAAAAAAAGCGAGGAGGTTGCCTCACATTGGACCTAAGAGTATCAATAATTATGGAGCCTGCTTCAACTAGAGTTCCTGATGCCCTGTGACTTTAAACATGCTCAAATCTGTTGACGCGAGATGGGATTTGTTTGGACTAATCAAACTTCACAGACTCAAAAATAACCTTGTTGAACCAAAAGCTAGATGCGACACCAATGAAACCGGTCATCAAGAACAAGCCAATGCTTGCCAGCCCCATATAACCGAAATACAAAATGTAGGTTGGCAAAGAGTTCGCTTCAAGGTTTTGAAAGTAGACAAAGGAGTAGAGGAACACATAGATCGCTGTAGAACCTGAGGTACCGAAAGAACGCCACCACCAATGATAGTCTTCATTGCAGAGCTGGAAATAGTTGAACAAAAGTGTGATCTCAGCGCAGGTGATGATCAGAATCAAGAAAACCAAAAGCAGAAATCCAAAGACATAGTAGTAGTAGTTCATCCAAACCGAGGCCATAATGAAATAAAGCTCCACAAAGCAGGCTCCGAAAGGTAAAATTCCGCCAATCATAAGTGTAAAGGGTGCACCCATGAACCAAGGTTGATCTGGAATCTGCCTCGGTATGCTTGAAGTTTTCACAGGAATTTCAATAGCATCTTGTTTGTAGCCGTAGTAAGCACCTAAAAATACCAATGGTGTAGAAATACAGAACCACATCATCAAGAGCACCACAATGGTTGTAAAGGGAACAGCGTCGGTACTCTCGTAGCCCCATGCCATCAGGTCTAGAGTGAAGAACATCACGAAACAAAGGCCTGGGAAGCCAAGAGCTGTACAGAGAGTTGCATACTGCCATGCTTTCCCCTTGAATGTCTTGTACATGCGTGCCGCCACATACCCAGCAACTGCACCCATGAGGACAAAAAACGACAGCTCCGCCATCAAAAGTGCGCCCCTTTTTGCAGGGCTCAGAAACCCGAAAGCGGAGAAGACAATGGTCCAGAAAGTCATACAAAGCAACTGTGCACCTGTCCCACAAGCAACAGAAAGCAATAATGGCGAAAATGCAGGAGGTCGAAAGACATCCGCATGAACCAGTTTCCATCCTCTCTCCTCGAGCTCGTCAGCTTTTTCTTCGTCAGTTAGAACTCGGTTGTAGCGTGCGAGATCTTGTCTCAAACTTTTCAAAAGGATAGTGATGATCATTGCTGATAACACGCAAACAATGACAAGACTATTCGCGATAGACAACCAATGGACTCTGGGTGGGATGGCATTGTCCATGCTCAAGTAAATATCCCATCGCGATGCCCACTTTAAATCCTTGTTTTCTATCCACTTGACGTCATAAGTAAACAAGACTCGACCACTTGCTTCCTGGGGCTCTCTACCATCAGCGATGACCATATCATAGTTGGTGTGTTCCCGTTGAGTCAAGGGTACATCCTTGTTACAACTTTGGATCGGATTATTAATTGTAGCCCATTGTTCGGTTTCAGGACTATCACCGTCCTGGTTTGCTGCATCTCCCACCTCCTTGATGGAATCAAAGTCGTGCTTGATGGAGAAAGGTTCGACAGTGAATCTAACAACACGAAATTTGTTCGCTTCATTTTCAACTGGATGATACATTAACTCGATATTCACGTGATTGTGGACATAGGCTTTTCGATTGTCTTCCGAAATAAATCCAACAGGAAAACCTTGCCAGTACCTCGTGGTGATTGTTTCGTCATCTTCAACAATAGAAGCAGCAGAAAGATTATCGACGATCCAATTGTTATGATATTCTCGTCGGATGGCCTTGATAACCTTGTTTGGTGCAATACCACGTTGCTCGTCATTTCCAAGATTAGAGATACATAGCTGCTGGCAGTACATATCAGTGTTCATCTTCAAAAGGTATGGCGATGATTCAATTCGATCGCCTCCAAGGAATTCTCCAAGGTTTTCGTTGTCCATCTTTGGTCCGCCAGCAGGTTGACAGAAAGGCAAGCCATAGTAGTCAATAGGTAGAAGAGTCTTTCTAGATGTCATTTTGTTCACCTTTAGCTTGACCCTACATTTAGTGAAAGTACGCAATGGAGTTAACAGTTCAACAACGTTTGATTTGAGTCAAAATAGTCTACCAATCGATACACTTGGTTTGCTTACGGTTCACCCTCAGAAAAGGATTGGGGATTCACTCCCGGAAGATAGAAGGCATCGGTCTGGGAGACTAGTGCAAAAAATGCTGAAAGCCAAACACCGTAGCAACGCATCATGGTTGGGTTTTGTTTCAAAGTTTTGGGTCATTGTTGTTGTTGGATGCCTGCGCGGGACTTGTATAGGCCTTATTTGTTTGAAAACCATTTTATGAAAAATCGAATTCAGAACGAAATATTTGCCACAGATGGCTACTGCATGGTACAGACCTGGAGTTGTCCCTAAGATTGTCAAGTCCTGGAAGGTACAAGTACAAGTTGGCATCGAATTAGATGTCGAAATTTGGAGTACGACTTGCATTGTGACAAACTTTAAAGAAGCCAGATGCCCAACGCTTCTCAACCCAGCGAACCCTTCGCTTTCAGGAGTGTCGAAGTTCCCCTACTTCCCAGTGGTACGGCTATCCCCGCCCTTCGCCCCCTTCGAAACGATTTTGAGACTCACCAACATGCATGCCTGTATGATCAGGGCGGACCTGAGCCAGATGTCCTCCCGATGAAAGATTCTCATCCAATTATGGGCTTTGTTTCACAATGGTACGTTCTTGGTGTTGGTGAGAATATACATATAAAGATGCTGGAATGATCTGAGCAATTGTATCATCTTCTTTTGTTTGCTCAGGGGAGGCATGGACGTTGGAAAGGGCATGATGTTTGCTGCAAACACGGTTGACGGAATGATCCACCTAGCTGGTAAGTTTTGTGTTGTGCCATTTTCTGGTTTGTTACAATGACTCATAAGGTGTTGATAACGGCACTCAAAGGGGGAAAAGAGTTGGCTGCCAATCTGAAATTGCAGCTCGGTGGGAAAGAAAGAATAGTTGAAGGTCAGGCAGTCTGGACCAATGGCGTTGGCGATTACAAGCATTTAATACACACTGTCCCTCCCTTCTTTGATAATAGCGATGATGACCATAGCGAGAACCGCTTGTTGCAAAATTGTTACCAAACTTCGTTGAGCCTTGCTACTGACCGGCTTCCCTCCGAAACAGATATCCGCATTGCCAGTCCACTGCTGGGAGCAGGATGTCGAGGATTTCCATTAGAGGAGGCTGTATTTCACTGTGCCGAGGCTCTCTCGGATTTGAATATGACCATAAGCACAGCGGTAGATGGGGGTACAAATGCAATCAAAGGATTGACTTTGGCATTTGGAGTCCCTTCACAGGATATTAGAGAGGAAATGATCAAAGCCTTTGAAAGTAGAATAAACTTTACAGAAGTTTAGTTGCCATAATGAAGAAGTCAAGATGTTACACGACAGAAACAGTTACCAAAAGGAAACGACAGTCCATACAATGGAATAGTTTTGCAGTGTTAGTTTTTGTGGATATGTAAAGCTTGGATTGTGTAATGAAGAGACCCATGAGGTGTTCTTGCGAGTACATGGCGAAATTGAGAAACAAAATGGTCGAGGCATTCAGAGTGTCTTTGCATTTCATCTACCTGGTTTCGAAGTGAAATGATATTGATTATGGGTATGAGCAATGCTAGTGTCTTGTGCGTCTTTGGCCTTCAAGAAAGATTTGAATGTTGTATTATCGAACAGAAATAGCCAAAGACGGCTAAACATTCTTATTAGAAGTTTCTCTTTGTTTCCATCGGAAGAAAGAAGAACAAAGAGGAAGTACGGCCACCACCAACCAGTACAGTAGCGCATTTGTCGGAGCTCTCAAAAGATACCAAACAGATTGTGCACCAACTCACGAAATCTCGAAATTTCCCTCCGTTGCTAACTTTCTTCCACCTACAACAACCTTGAGTGTAGGTTCGAGTTTCGAGTTTCGAGTTTTTGGCCTAGTGTAGGTTTACAGTAGCTACTGTACCCAGCCAGGTACAACTTGCCTACCAGTCTACCAGTACTGTAAAAAAAGTGGCATCACCCAGAAAGACAACCAAGACTGACTCGGCTGACTCTCAATGCTGGCCTGCTCAAAATCGCCATTTTCAAAAATGAAGAATTTCACAATCACCATATCACCATATCACCACCTCCAACTGTAACCGTACTGGTACAATGAACTCAACCAAAAATGAATCATCATGTAACCCAGAAAGTACCGGTAGCTGCGATGGAGACGAAGAAGATACGAAGGAGACAATGTCCCTCACTACATGTACCGGAAGCGGCTATTTCGCTGCAATACAGTCCAGAATACATATTTATGATAGTTTTCGATTAGCTCGGATCATCCTTGGTAGCAACATCAAATCGTTCAACGGAAGTTTGGATTCCACGGCAATCTTCGAAGCAATTACAGTTGTAGCAGAAATGAAAATGGAACTGGTCCAACTGCAGGGTAAAGTGAAACAACTCGAAGCCCGCAATATTATTGGCGAAGCATCATCCGAAGACCAATTCGGAAGCAAAACTTCGGAACAACAGAAACTTTTAGAACAGAATGAACTTTTGAAGGACTACAATGAGCAAATGATACGTTTGCATGCTTCACAGTCTAGGACGGTTGACATTTTGTCTAACTGGAATGGCGGTCACTTTGACGTAGATGCCGGTGATGCTTCAGTTCCAAACGAAGAAGCAGTTCTTCGCGTAGCAAAAGAATCAACTGAGAAATCAAAAGAGCTCCTTGCCCGTGCCAATTATCTGTTCGAAACATCACAGAAACAATTAACAAGTTGCCGTAAGCAGATTGGCAAACTCCAACGTCAGATCCAGACAAAATCGACTATTCAACACATAGAACTAGAGTCATTCCGTTCCAAGCACGCTCGGCAAGTCATGGATTTATGTGGTCAGCTGGAGGCCTATAAGGAACAAGTTGAAACTCAGCACGAAGAAATGTTACGGATGCAGGAAAGATTTCACGAACTTGAAGCTTTGGCGGTTACGCCAAAACAAGCACATGATGTGTTGCAAGCGATAAACCAAATTGCAGAAGACTCATCAGTAGAAGAGCAAATGGAAGTCCAAAGTCAAGTTGTAGAAATCTTACAAAGGATGTCACAGATGTACACAAAGCAGGTCCATGATGATGCAGAGTTGCACGCCATACTTGAAGCGGCAAAAAGAAAAGAAGAACGATCAAACGAGGAACTTCAGGATTTGAAACTGCAAGAAAAAATACTGCTAGAAGAAACTCGAGTTCCTGCCAAGGATTGGCGAGAGGCTCTTGCTGCTCAACGGACTCTGTGCGAGCGACAGATTAGCGACATATTGTCGAGGGAAGAGAGCCGACTGCTCGAAATGGAAATCTTAGAGCTCAAATTAACAGAGCTCGCATTTGCTGCGGTTGAGATCGAGGATCTCCGGGATGAGCTGCAGGAAATTAGGGATCAACACGACGATAAAATTACAGAAATCAACTCACTTGCCGTGGGGGCAGAAAGCGTCGTGGCAAGACTACGGAATCAAATTGAGGAGATTATGGAAAAGCAGATGCAATCAATTCGTCATATCGAACCCTCTAAGTCCAAAAAATGGAGAGCTCTCCTTGACCGAAAAAAGACTATCGATAACCTCGACCAACTGGAAATGAAACTCGTGGTTCAGAATGAAGAGCTCTTCTCCGTGAAAGAGGAATTGTCCCAGAGCAAAGCAAAAATACAACTACTGGAGCACAAGTTGAGCATCGCAGCAGGAACAAAGGGATACGGGTAGGTTTATGCGGAGTCCTTTCTTCTGGATTCTGCCTTTCCACACATCGTCTCTTATGAAATCGACTAGATAGCAATCAATGTTATTACATTAAAATACAGCACATTTTCTTATATTGGGTTTCACAAGAATTACAAATCTTTCTGTCTTCTTCGCCCTTTGGTAGCTAGTCGGTTGCAGATAATGTCAGAAACTGTCAGGGCAGGTATGAAAAATACAAGTCGATAGGCATGCCCTCTCTCCAACAGTAACTTGCTAACACCAGCGACGATGGTACCCAAGATGAGATAATCTCGAATATTCAGTGTAAGAGCAAGTTCATGATCCATTCGCCTTCGTTGCTGCATTAAGTACAAATGAACAGACAAGAGAATCAAAAGCAAAGATTGCCAATTCCTTGCCTGTGGTCTGTCACCCCACAAAATCAATGAAAAGGAGCCTACCGCGGAGATTATTGTAACGAGGAATGCCGAAGCGACAAAACTCAAGTCACGCCTTTGGTGCAAGGAACGCGAAAATCCGACAATGAGGAAGAGGCAACACAAGATACAGTCGATGACAAAGAGAAACAGGTAGGAATCATAATATTGCAAAGTTGTTGCGCCAACTACCACTCCTCTGAGCGAAACAGACAGAAAAGTGACAGCCGTGGATGGAACCAAAATCATTACAATGGATGCACCAAGATCCTCAGCCATGTAAAATCCAACAGGAATAGTCGAGGAAATCAAAGCGTGGACTGTGTTGGCAACGAGCGTTAGGATCAAAATGGACCCTTTGTTGATGTCGCAGAAGCACCAACCACAAATGACAGTCAAAATTAAATTGTTGGTGTCCCACTTGGAATTGAAAGAACACCGTAGTCCGCTAAGGATGCAGAAGAAACTGAATAAATGTGGAATATTGTAAACCATTCCCGACTCGATGCTGCTTGCATGAATATATCCGAACTTTGTATTGAGATCATTTCTTGACAAAATGTAATTTGTTGCAAAACTGTCTGCCCCGAAGTGATTCTTTACAAGTTGTAACCTGGTAACAACATCTTCTTCAACACCTGCGGTTGAGAGTTCCCAGATCACAGCTCGAAGAGAATGAAGAACATCGAAACACCATGTGATCGCCTGATGATCCATCCCAAATTCGCCATTGTGCAGCAGATCTTGAGCCAGCACCTTATAGGGCAGATAAGGCATTATTACGAATTGGTCAAAATCAATCGACTGCACAATACGATTTACTCACTGAAAAGGATGAATGATGCTGCTGCATAAAACTCGAGGTTGGTTCAATCATTTCATCCTTTAGCCCTGTAGACACTGAGACGACCAATGCTTCTCCCCCAGATGTACGTTCCAGCCTCTCATATACTTCACGTATGGAATAATCGAAAGCGTAGATCGGATTGGAGTGCGGCGAAGCAAGGGTGATAATATCTCGAACCAGATGGGCATTCTCTGGGTGCAAGACAGGGACCAAACGAGCAACGATCCCACCCATTGAATGTCCGACAAGAGTGACCGAGTCGACATCGCAAACACGCTGAGAGTTGAATCAGATTCTATGCAACAGTTTGAATCAAGCTGTCGCTATGTACCAATGTCTGCACGTACCGAGATATGGCGAACCGCCTCGCTCACGTAACCCGTCTGTGATATTAGAAATGAACCGTGAAGCGCAGCACCCTGCTCTCCGAAGTCGACAGATAGGACCTCGAATATGAATTCTTCTTCATTTTGCGCAGTTCCACTCAGCGAACCTCTTTCAAGCGCATTTACGATGCTCTCCACAGTCGCACCAGCCGCTTTCCCCGTGAGTTTCAACCCATGCGCTCCAAGAGAGCGAGACTGAGTATATGAGCCCCAATGCCCTGGAATGAACAAAACCACCTTTACTTTCGCATGACTTTTGCCACACCAATCTGGATAATCTGAAATCGGCTGTTTTGCTCGCATGAGCGATTTATATCTAGGGTCTCTTCTGTCCAGAAACTTGTAAAGATTATAGCTGCTTGCTAGGGGAGATGTCGATTCAAAAGAGGTTGCAATCTCCACAAACTCTCTCATGGAGTATGTCATCTCACATTCATCACCATTGGAAAAGGAAATCATTCTGAATACAATTCCATAAACAAACAAGAACAAACCGAAAACGTGCGTCACTATTAGGAAGAGTGAGTGCATGGTAGATTTTGGATTTGTTCCGGAGCAGTAATCAATTTTGTGTTTCTTCGCTGAGCGGACGGGAAGCGGTGCTTTCATGTTAGTATGGTCGTTACCATCGTTGGTTATTATTGTCTGTTTGATGCGATTGCTCATCCTTTTCAATCGCTTTGGATTTCGCAGACTCCAATTGGGCCTAAAAGAGTTTCAATGATGTTTTTGGGCTGACAGTTGTTACTAGCTGTTGGCCCCCAATCCCCCAGCGCAAGCGCTCGTTTCCTCCAAGGGTGAGGTGGGACTAGGGTAATCTTAATAACTATCTATTCCTAGACTTCAAATTCACTCTGTCAAACCGTCCAGGGTGTGGTGGGTGGGAAAAAACGCTAGTGCCCGACGTGATCAACAAGAACATCGGTCAAGCGTTGCTCGGACTGGGTGTGAAGATACCGAAAAACTTCGTCGGAGCGCCACCGACCGAGTAGTTTGATGAGACTAGTCGGGATATTGCCTTCAAGAAGCGCGGCAGCCCCGGTGCATCGAAGAGCACCGATTGTGGGAGGTCGATCGACCTCCACGGAGAGAGCAACTGCTCTCAAATATTTTGTCATCATTCGATCTGTGACATTGCAAGGGACTCCAAACTAGTAGTAGGTGAACAGGGGGGTGTCGCCAGTCTTGTGTTGACTCTGTCGAAGGTGTCGGACAATGGCAATCAGCCAAGCTGTTGGGTTGTCACCATTAAATGACGTGCCCAAACCGATCTTTTCGTCTGGCACCGCATTTTTTTGTTTGTCAAATATCAGACCGGCGAATGTCACAAGTGACGTGTCCAGGAGGCGAAGGGGAATGACGTCGCCACGAAATTCTGCGTCGTTGATACGAAAAAACACTTGCTTCAACTTGAAAGGAAATTGCGTTCCCG